GCATGATTTAATGCTGACCATCTGGGAGAAGGAAGCTATGCCTACGGAATGGGCAACAGCCATTATCTGCCCAATACATAAGAAAGGAGATCAAACAGAATGCGCTAACTATCGAGGAATCTCACTCCTTTCGTGTGCTTATAAGCTGCTCTCTAACATTCTTTTTGAGAGGATCCTCCCGTATTCTGAAAAGGAACTGGGGAAATATCAGGCTGGAGTTCGAAGAGGACGCTCAACGACTGATCAACTGTTCTCTCTGAGGATGATCCTAGAAAAGACTATGGAGCGTAAGGTAGTCACCCACCATTTATTCCTGGACTTTAAAGCAGCATACGACAGCGTTGATAGAACGCAACTATACTGTGCCTTGGAGGAGCTAAGCATCCCTCAGAAGCTCGTACGCCTAATCAAGATGACCATGGACAGCTCGAGATGCAGAATACGCGTCGGTTCTGACGACTCCGAAGAGTTTAAAGTGAGCAGTGGGGTTAGGCAAGGGGATGCCCTCGCCTGTCTATTGTTCAATTTGGCAGAGGAGAAAGCTGTAAGAGACTCCGGTATTCAGACCAAAGATATAATCTTCAATCGCCTGACACAGCTTCTTGGTTTTGCTGATGATATTGACATAGTAGGTAGGTCTGAACGGGCTCTCAGAGAAGCGTTTATAAGCCTTGAAGCAGCTGCAAGACCACTTGGTCTAGAAGTCAACGAGAGGAAAACTAAGTATATGAGAGTTGGCGGTGAGGTTGATCTGAACTCTCCATTTGAGGTAGGTTCTTTTAAGTTTGAGAGAGTGAAAAGTTTTATATACCTTGGGTCTGAAATCAATAGCAAGAATGACATGGCTCAAGAAATACAAAGAAGGATCACGGCTGCCAATAGATGTGTCTTTGGACTTGGCCGACACTTAAGAAGTAGGTACCTCTCAAAGAAGACCAAGTTGATCATATACAAGACCCTTGTTCGGCCTGTTTTGACATATGGCTCAGAGGCTTGGACGATGACCAAAAGGGATGAGATGAAGCTGAGTGTCTTTGAGCGAGGAGTCCTCAGAAGGATTTATGGTCCAGTAAAGGAGGGTGATGTCTGGAGGAAAAGAAAAAATAGGGAGCTCAGTTCTCTCTATGCAGACATCGACGTAGTCACGTATATTAAACTGGCCAGACTAAGGTGGGCAGGGCATGTGGCCAGAATGAGCACCCTTGAAATACCAAAAAAAATAATGATGGAGGAGCTGCACCTCGTAAGACGGGTAGGAAGGCCGAGGACGAGATGGTTGGACAACGTGGCCTATGATGCGAGAACCCTGCTTGGTGTGCGGAACTGGAGAGCTGCAGCAGAAGACAGAGCCAACTGGCGGAGGCTCTTGGAGGAGGCCCAGTCTCGGTGACGGGATGTTGTGCCATACATGAATGAATGAATGAACAGTTTTTTAATTTGTAAAATGGGGATTGGTCTGCCATTAGGCAGACAGCGGGTACCCATAAGAAGAAGAAAAGGCATAATATATAATTTCAAAAAACATTTACGTTGATGACACCTTTCATTAAAGGACAAAAGATGAGTCACTATGACTGTCCAGTATACAGAGGTTTCACTGGAAATACGAAAGGATGAGAGGTGTAATTGAATTTAAATTAGGATTTCTAAAATGTTTGAATGTCAAATCCCCTTATGAAATGGTGTTAGATTATTCCTTTTTGGCATAGCTAATAAAAGTATATATATCTGTCTATATAACTGTATGAATGGTGAATTTGAGATTACTTTGGTCGCTCATAATCTAATAACGTTTTTGTATTATTAATGTTAATAAAATTAAGATATAGATTGGCAATTGTATCAAACATCTTGATTGTGCCCTTTTTTCTTTTTAATCTTAACAATGTTGGGTTTTTTCTTTATCTGGGTTTGTGTGTTTCCTATTATAGGAAATGTGATCTGTTACCTATCCAAGTATTAATATTAAGTATGCTCTACTTTTCTACAGCACGCACACTAGCCCTAGCCAATTCCATCACAATAGTTATTCAAATATGCAATATGTATATAATATGCTTGTTTAATGTTCATGTACAGTTTAGAAATGTTGCTTGATAATTTATTCACTGAAAAGCTAATGTAGGTTGAACAGTAATTGTGAAAATTAGTATTTTGTAAATTGAAATTATCATAAAATAAATTTAAAAGCAATAAAAAGAAATTTTTATATCGTCTAACAGAAGTTTTTCAATACCATTTGATTGAAAAATTTTAATTCAGTATAAAATTATTTGAACTTTACAATTATGTATTTATGACCATGTTGTATTCATAACTATGTCGGAACATAACAATATATGAAGTATCTAAAGCCTTGAAGTTCGAACGGTCTTATGGCAGTTAGATGGACTATCAACGATGTTCAACTTAGAGCTGGAGAAGATGGTAAGAACATCACATGAAAATAGAGGATTATACTTCGGAATGAATCATAAAATCCTTGGATATGCTGATGATATAGCTGTCCTTGGAAGTAATCAAGAGGACATTGAGAAACTTGGTAAGACTCTGGTAAAAGAAGCGGAGTAAATAGGACTAGATAAAACAAAAGATATGATAAGCTGAGAATTCTACCCCAATAACAAGATCTGCATAGAATGGAAATCGTTCCTGAGAGTAGACAAATTCAAATACCTCGGCTTCTCAATAATCTCAGTGAATGATCAACTAATGCAAACAGAGCTTTCTTCTCCCTTTCAAAGGTATTGAAATCCTGAAAATTTTCAAGAAATCTCAATTTACAGTGCTACGATAAAAGTCAGTTCTAATATATGGCTGTGAGACCTGGACACTAACCAGTGTCCTAGAAAAAAGTATTGAAAGATTTGAGAGAAAAATCCTCCACACAATAACCAGAGCGATTTGGGGTCAGAGTACTAATACTTGGAGAAGAAAGACCTAGTAAAGAGTTGCTTACAGAAACTGATCAATCAATATCTCATGATATGAAGGCATGGAGGTTAAGATAGCTTGGAGCAATCCATCTGGAAGCCTCTATGTAACAATGAATGCTTCAATAGTAGACAAAAAAAAGACCATGTGGAAGGCTAAAAAGCAAATGGATTTATCGGATAAACAGAGATACAATACAGCTGCATGCAGATAACTGGAAAGAAATATGCAGAGATGGAGCAGCAGGTTAAGGTGGCAAAAAAAAAAAAAAAGGATTTTTATTTATTTATTTTTATGTTCCTGTATATTTCAATATTATTCTTTGTTCATTGGAATATTTTGGTTCATTACTCCCAATAATGAAATTTTTTAATTGACCACGAAAGAAAAGTTTAATATCCTCTAAAAATTTGAAGACCATCTACTTTCATGTATTGAATAAAAAATGACTCATAAGTGGCTTTTCTATGAGACTTATGTTGTTTGTGAAACTAAAGTCATAGGCTTATCTACAGTGATCAGTAATTACCATCCACTGATTAGAGATTTCATTCTTGCTTATCTTGACAGTATATGAAGATAGAGGAGAAATCTAATGTGTATGTAATCATTATTTTTAATGGTATGGAAATGATCGACCATAGCTCAAATTTAATGAGGAGTTCGTCAGGAGAGAAGGAGGAGGGTGCGGTCAAAATTCATGCATTTAATTTGTGAGAATTACACTTATTGGTTGCCTTTATTTCTTCATCAGGGCTGTCCAGTAATTTGGGAGGAAGAGAAACAACAGTTGTTACACACATAATACATTAGATAACCTGTACCCAACACAACTCATGAAGGGTCATGGGTTTAGTTCTTTGTAAGGAAGTACTGCTTCTTGGCCGACGGTTATGCAAAGAGTTGATTTGACTGAAGTCACCATCAGCCGTCTAGAGATTAATTAAGCCCACTTTATTGGGGCTGGGACCCAAATCCAGGGTCAATCCACAATCGACAAAACAGAATAAATAATTATCTGCTGTCAGTTGGATTTGAACCTGAGATCTTGATCATTAGAAGTCAGCGCTAAACCACTGACTACCCCTCTCCCATGTTACACGCATAATACGTGGGAATAATATTTATGGTTGCCTACGTGTCGACCTACAGCTTATAAATATAATTTCTAATTATTTACTTGACTTTTTTCTGCATCTTCCTCCTCTTCCCTATCTAACTTCTTCTTAAGTTATTTCACTCACCAGAAAAAATGAAAGTATTAGGATAGAAACCATTACCTTAAAAATGTATTGAAATAAATACAATTTGCATCTTGCAGGTATGTTTCCTCTAGGAAAAGAGACCATGATAGCTAAGCATATTGGGAAGATGGTTCCTGAGAGCTCATTTCCGAACAGTGTGGATTCCATTCTCACCTAGGACAGATAATATTTATTTCTCGGCAGTCCCAATAGATGAATCTTGCTTCCCCTTGCTAGTACAGAGTAGCAACCTCTAGGTACCTGTTAAAGGTAGCCTAATGACCAAAAAGCTCAATTGCCGAACTAGTTCCCCCACTATTAGTTATTTCCTCTAGAATAGATTTGTTAATAGCCCTATCTAGGTCTGATATTTTTTCATTTTTAGGAAAGTCAAAGTTACTCTTAATGTCATTTTTAAAGTATTTCCCTTAAGAGAACAGATGAAATAAATATTTTTTAATCCATTTTAGTTCTTAAAATATTAATATTTTTTTATTTTATATGTAAATCTTGTAACAGTTTGTTTATGTATATGTGTCTGTGAATAATTCTGTGGATTCTAAACTGTTACTTAAGTTTATTAACAATGTATTAGAAGTGAAATGCATTTTCAGCTGTATTATGTTTATTAATATAATATATATTGTTTTATAATTGTGACTACCATATAATAATGAAAGTTGTTTTTCTTTTATCAAACTCAATATAATCTATTATATACATTTAAAACATCTATAACTTTCAAATTATGTAAATTTCTCTCCTTCCATTTTTAATTTTTCTCTTATGATTTTTAATATTTCAAAGTTATATTTTTTCCAGGTGGAGATGAAGGTAGTTGGGACATCTGTAGCATAAGTTCTTTACGTGCTTTAGTAACAGCTGCTGACCAAAGAGGGAGTCGCAACTCTCTTCCAAGAATGAAACAAGAACATTTCATTGCACTTTGGCGTTCCCTTTATGATATGTTGCAAGATCATCTTGATAATGAGGATATGTATCATTCCATTGCCTCAGTTGGTAAGTTATATTCACATTTTTCTATATTTTTTCATAGCCTCTTTTTTTTTTTATATATTTCTTAAAGACATTTACAACTGTATTAAATAAATACATCTAGTAAATTAGAACATAATGTATATAATGACATGAAAAACACTTAAAAAATTTATTTGTATTTTCATTTTTTCTACCTCCCTCTTGTGAACTCATGATTAATATTTATTTTTTATTGTTTAATTGTGCATACGCGTTAGCTCATTCATCCACTCCGCCCCCTCTTTGCTTTCCACTTTAAAAATATTGGGCTATTTGGCGTGAACTCTAACACCCAATATGTCAAAATATCGAGGTTATATAGGGCAAATGGCCCAATATTTTGTAAGCCACTTTTTTTTTTTTTTTGCCATAAAATTATCTTATAATTCAACTAGAAAGTGAATGGGTATTTTAAAGTTTTAGTCCCTCATTAAATTAATTAACTTAATGAGAAAATGTCCAATTTCTGAGAATTTTCATTGATAAAAAATTAGTAGGTTACAATAAAATATAGCCATTTACGAAGTTTTAGGGGGATGTTAATAATTTGATAAAAAGGGGTCTGAACCACTGACTAATACTTTTTTATTTTATTAATTTTTTTTACAAATCTTGAACAAAGTTCATATTCGGTTCAGTAATGTGTTCAGTACATTGGTTGGCTTATCTTTTCAGTGATATCTTTCTTTATGATTGGGTTTTGTGAAGTATTCTGTGGTTTTATGTGGTTAGTTTAAATAAATACTGTTTCTCATTAATAACTATATTAATATTTTCTTTGGAAAATTTCATCCTCTTGTTGAATGATCTAAAAATAATTAATTGCTTGCAAAGCTTTGGTAGTAAATAATAAATTACAAAACAGACCCTTTTTTTTAATCCTATGAAATAACAAGCAAATTTTAAATCAGTTAATACAATTGTAAGAATGCAAAACAGATCAACATGTTACAACAAAGAAATTTAAGAATGTGATTAATTAACATATCAGCTGTTTTGAAGTTATGCAGAGGGAACTTTCCCCTTCTTTTGCCTCCCGCCCAGTCTATACCACATAGTTCTTTTTGAAGTTGTTGGCCTATAGATATTTTTTTTATTTATTTATCTATTTATTTTTTTTATGAGACTCTGAACACTAGCACTCTTAGTAATAGTTTATAATATAGAAACTTGATTAAAGTTAATGCTAATGAAACATAACTAGTTTTTTTTTTAAATAAAGTTTTTTGTATAGCAATATATGTTGTTAATAATTGTTTGATAATTTTATTACTACATTTTAGGTACATTACTTTTAAAATTGGGCGAAGTTGGCAAAAAGTTTTATGCTGCTCGGGATGAATCATTAGAAAGTTTAGTATTGGCAGCTGAACAGTGGAATGAAAAAAGCAAAATTGTATGTAAATAAATTATTTACTTTTTATAATAGTCTGTATGTATTTCAGGGATCATTTACAATTAATAAATGACAAAACAAATTCATTATTTTTTTAATATCGATTGAAATAACAATCAAATTAAGAAAGTTATGAGGAATTCCCCCTCTCTTTCTATACATTTAAATATTATTTTTACAGGCAATTGCCTATTTTTTATAGGGTAAAACCCCCAGTTTTCGGCAACCAATGCAGTTATTGAAAAATATTAAGTGTAGAGAACAGTCTAGAGCTGGCGAAAGGCATTTATTTGAAGCGGGAATATATCCTCCACTCGCATATTATAAACTCTCTCACTATTTACTTAGTTTTGTAGGATGAAAAAATCGCTGAAGATTAGAAAACCTACAGGTGTCACCTAGGAAGAAAGTTGTCTTAAGTTTTTGGCAATACAATATAATTGTAGCTTTTTCATTCTGAAGACTACCAGATTTAATTCTTCAGGTTTTTGAAAATTGAGTAAGAGGGGCCTAAATCTGGAAAAATGGTCCCAAAAACTGATGCCTAATGATGTTTTTACATTTTTTGGTTTTACAAAAAAAAAAAAAAATAATGAAAGACACTGTTTCACATATATATTTTGTAATTAGATATTTTTACTGATTTAACAGAACCAAAATTGTTGAACCAAGTACCCTCGTGATTAAAAACGGGATAAAGTTTAAAGTTTCCTTGAATGTCCTGAAAACTGGGGAGGTTTCATCCTACAATTTAAATGTTTTATTTACTCTCTTATATTTACTCTCTTATATATATTTTATTTACAATTTACTCTCTTCATATTTTTTAAGTAAATTTTTATGCAGTAGTGCAATAGTGTTTCAATAGAATTAACATGTATGGAAGCCTCTTCAAAATATTTTTCTATTGTTTTCCTACAATAATATTTAATCAGTAATATTGATAATGTAAGGGGCCCTTCAAGTAAATCTTACTGTGAATGTAAATAAGGTTTATTGCAGCTCTGTTGATGCCTCCTGAATCAGCAGAAGATGGCAGTTGCTTTTTGAATTGATTCTTTTGTTGTGGAATCTTTGTATAACTGTTGTCTCTTATTCTAATGAATAGTCTGTCTTTATGAATAAGGCATGAAAGTTTTTTTTTTTTTCGTTAGGTTCGTGATCACAATGGTAATCCTGGAGGTGAAGCTGAATGGTCCATAGCTGTCGAACAGTTCCTAGCAACGGCTCTCACGGGTCAGCCGATCGTTGAATTCTTCTCTCAACGAATCGAACTTTTACCAATACTGTCATCGATGAGGAAGTCGAGATTCACCTCCTTTCAAAATAACGGAATAGAAGTTTCGTGATTTCGAATGAGTAAATTCATGAATGAAACTAATCCTTACTGAAATTGATGTAAGATTTATTGTATCATCATATTCAATTTAACAGTCACAATAATAAATTCAATAATATTAATTTTATTTTTTATGTATATATTGAAGGAATTTTTCCATTGTTAAGTATTACTAATCAAAAGATTTATTATTTATAATTATAATTTTAGTTTTGTATTTAGTTGTTTTAATGGTTTAACTTTTGACTTGATATATTGTTATGTCAGAAACATTTTATTGGTTTAGTTAAGATTTTGTAAATAATAATAATAAAAAATATATATAAATAAATAACTAAAATTTTTATTTTACTAATTTATTTTATTTCTGATTAATTTCCAGAATTAAAAAAAAAATAGAATAAAAAGCATTTTAGAATTTAACATTCTTGGGCAACTATACGATCTATTTTTTTCAAAGATTTTTTATTTTACTGCTATATCAAATTTTGGTGTTTTTTTTTTTTTTTTCAAAATTTTTTAGAATATTCATATATAGAAATGTACTATATGGAAAGAAATAGCTGTAAGTTCACATTGTTGAAACTCTTTTATTTAAATGATGTAGTTATTATGTTTTGAATATTCTATAATTGAAGATGAAATAGTTTGCTTACAAGTTGTCCAGATTTTTGAGTAATCCATTTAATTAGTTCATTGTATGAAATAGAGTCTGAAAAATGAGTCTAAGAATTATAATACAGCTTCAATTAAAGTAATGATAATTTTTCTAAAAAAGTTGCTTTTGCTGATTAATACTGTGTACAAAAAAAAAAAAAGAAATCAGTCCATTGTAAAAACCTAGTTATGAATAGAGAAAAATATATTTATTGGTATATAATATATGTTTTTTATCTTACACACTATTCTACTACATAATTTTATAACAAAAATATTATGATCGATTTTAAAATAGAATGTTGTGGTTTGTATGTGTTAAGCTAGGGTTTCTCAACCTAATAGGTTAATTTGGTTAAATTAAATTGAAATAGGTCAATTCCACTAAACTATCTATCTAAAAAATGACTTTTTTTCATAGTTTCTCAAACATTTGACACATTGAAGTCATTTGTAATTTATTTAAGACAAATTATAACTCTAATTTAAGCCCAATTACTGTTTTCATTTAATTGAATTTTTTTTATGAATTTTAATAAATACAAGTTAAACTTTTACTATAAACCTGGAATTTTATTACAAAAATGTTTCACAGAAAATGTTAAAATGGAACTTTTTTCCTAAGATGTTTTATAGCAACTGTTAAAATAGAACTTTCATAAAAGTTTTGTTCTTGCCTGTTTATATAATGATTAGTTTTCAGAAATAATTAGTCATCATTTTTTTGTTACTACTTCATTATCTTCTACGACTTTATTTGTTAGATTTTATTTTATTTTTTTTTAATCTTTAGCTCTCTGATGATATATTATAAATTTTTTGTATATTACTATTCTTACTGTTGGAAATTTGCTTTCAATTCGGGAAAATATTTCTCGTTTTGTTAATTATTAAATCCTCTAGTTTATTCCATTATTGTCAAATCCATTTCATAGTTTATATTAAGCTATTTTTTATTACTACCAACCATGAGACTTCTAATAATTTCAAATAAATGATATCAAAGATACTTCAGAAGTTATTTTGAAAACTCGGCATTTAAAATCTGATTCACCATTTAATGATGATTAGACCTACCTGATATGACGAGTTTATCAAAATTGTCAGTATCATTTTCTAAAAAATTTTAAAAATCTGAAAAATGGATTTAATAAAATAAAAATTCCGGCAAGTAAATTTTAATGAAAAACCTGCTGTAACATTCCAGGTATATATTTATCTTTAATGCTTAATTTATGAATTTTTTTCCAACTACACTGTGTTCATATAAAAATAGACCATTTTTGTAAAACTTAGTTATTTGAACCCAAAGAACTTTAAAATGTATATTGCCATTAAAACCTCAGAATCAAAATTTTTCATGATAGCAATACTTTTCCTTATTATGCACATTTCCTGATCACAGGAATTAAAGGATAGTTTCAAACTATTCAGTTAGAATAACACAATCATCAAACCAATTGTTATTTACTTAGCCATTTTTTTTATTTTTGTTGACATCTCTAAAGCAGTTAATTGAGGTACTTTTGAAGTGTTGCAAAAGTACAATTAAAGCTGAGCGGTAGCCATTTTTCTTTGTCTCAGTATTTTATTAAGAAAAGCTCATTTTTTTTTTCAACACTTAAAATGTTTATGTAGTATGTTTTAAATATTTTAGTATGTCGTACCAATTTATTTTTGGAGTATTAAAAGAAAAAGAATTCAATAATATATTGCATAATCAGTTTAATATATTTATATACTTCACATTTTAGGTTTAAAATTGATTTTCAGATATTTCATGTCAAATTTAAAGGTTCATTGATTTTTTTTTATTTTTTAGAATAATTACTGTCATGGTCATTAATATATTCATTTTACCTTCATATTTCAACTGAAAACAATTTTAAATTTCACTTTATTAGCGGTTGAAGCCATTGTTTTTGTGTAAAAGGAAAAATGAAACTTTGGTATAAAGAATATTTTATTCTAATAAATATTAAGTGCTTCTATAAAAATACAGATGTTTGAGGGATATCACATTCAACTGTAGTTTAAATTTATTATGTTTTATTTTTTATTATTGTTTTTTTATTTTAATTTGTGAAATTTTTATTTTGGTTCATTTAAGTTGGTTTTAATTAAAATAAAACTTAATATTTGTTTATAGCAGGATAAAGTTTAACAAAAACCTACCTTGAGATCTGATGAAAAGAGCTAGGAGTTTCTTCAGGATTTTGGTGTAAGTTATTGCTTGTATGCTTTTATCTTTTAATTGTACAATGTTTCATTTAAATATTAATGAAAAATTCCTAATGAAAATTCATTAAATATTATTGAAACATTCCTATTACCAAATGACCATGGTGGCCCAAAAGTTGATATACCATTTTGAATTGGTATAAAAAATAACTTTTTTGTTGTCAGATTTATTTGTAGATCCTCCTTGTTTGTCTTTTCTCTAAAGTCATCGCTGATCAGGTTTTTCACAATTTAATTGTTTCCATTGCCCATATCTGCCCTCTTAAAATAGAATGATTTAGCTCCATTGAACCAAAATTTACAGGAAACAGAACAAACAAATTTCTTCACTACTAAAATTTTATACTTTATTGATTGAAATTTTATTATCAATTCTTAATTTTTTTCCATTTTTGATTTATTATTTTTTTTTTTTTAAGTTTGCAGTTGTAATACACAATACCTTTGTTAAGATATATTTATATACAAAAGGTAAAATAGCCCATTGAAACAGTTATAGGTTTTAAATATTAAAAAAAAATATTATGAGGAACATTCCTATACATTGTTTGTAGAGTAAAGAATATTATTACTATTTATTTTCTATATAGGGAGTATTCTTATCAAAAAACGACTTTAGTCTGGAGCTAGGGCTATATATATTTTTTTTAAAAGTTGTTTTATTGAAAAAAGTCATTAAGTGATATTTCGTAGTCTTAATCACATGGAACTTTGATGAATTTTCTCTTTTTAAAATTAGAAAATTTTGAGCTTGTTTGATACCTACATTTGATATATGTAAGAGTTTGTGTCATTTTAGTGTACTTTTTTATCAACAAATAAGTTCGAAAATCACAAAAACATTCTTTAAAGTTCAGCTCCATCAAAACTGTACTTAATGACTTATTACAATAAGCCGACGATTCGAGTGTATTTAAAAAAAAAAAATCAGAAAAAATATTTTGAAAAATTTTGAGTTTGGGCCTTTTTAGTTATGATGGCTTAAATTTTTTACTGTTATTTGTTAGCCTCATCTTGAATCATGGTGTCAGAATTTTTCTTGCCTCACTAATTTTGGATATTGGATCTCTTCAAATGGTTCAGTTGAATTTTGTTTGTTCTTTGTTAATGAAATTTGGTCATTTTCTCATTGTTCAAAATAGTAAATTTTTAATATCCAGGATTATGAAACAAGTAATGTGTTATGAGTTATTTCAATTGAAAATTATCTATCGACTTTTGGGCCAGTAAGTTTTTTTATTATATCCTTTACATATTTTATTCTACATTAACTTAGGTTACAAGCATTGATTTTACAAACCAGTGCTCATGACTTTTATTCTGTTTAATTCCTTATTCCCTATTCCTATTTAATAATTAGTTGTGATTGTTCATAATATAAATAATTCTTATATTATTTGTATTCTAAGATGTAATGTGATATATTGTGATATGATACAAAATGTTTGTATAGTTTTATTTTATGATTTATAACATTTAGGAATGAAGGAAACAAAAATAAAAAAAACATTCGGCGACGAATAAAAACTGTTAATTACCATTTTGTATTGAATTTATTTGTTAACTTTTAAGTTCAAAATAAGTATAACAGTTATTGAATTTCCTTTTTGGGACGATTAGGAATATGTTAAAGATATGTTCGTTTACTGTAATTTTGTCTTGTTATTTTAAAATTAAAAACTATAAATGGCCTGGCTGGACATTGGTCATCAGCTTTGTACCAGAACTGAATTAGAATTTAGTACCTCAAGGCCGATATGAAGTAATCCATGAGTGTTATGTTGTTATAACCAGCTTACTTAGAGGTAGGGGCCTAGTTTTAGATAAATGTAACAAAAATAATAATTTTCTTATGATATGCATATTTTGTATATTTGTTTATATACTTTTTTTTGTTGCTCATTTATTTCTATAGAATATATTAATTCAATAATTCATATTGGGAAGATGAAATGATAATATGCATAGTTTATAGCAATAAAAATTAGAATTTATGGCATTTTTAAAATAAGGTTGCTGCCTCCCATATGACATTAAGTATAAAAATAATTAAAAAAGCCATGTTTTTGTAAATATAACTACAATTGTCTCAATTGTATATTTTTGTATAAG